CTGGCTTGGACTCCGCCACTGGCTTGACTTTGGGCTCTGGCTCGGGCTCCGGTGTGGGCTTCACCAGCGGCTTGACTTTGGGCGTTGGCTCAGGCTCCGGTTTGGGCTCTGCCACCGGCTTGACTTTGGGCTCTGGCTCGGGCTCCGGTGTGGGCTCCCCCAGCGGCTTGACTTTGGGCGTTGGCTCGGGCTCCGGTTTGGACTCCGCCACGGGCTTGACTTTGGGCTTTGCTTCAGGCTCCGGTTTGGGCTCCGCCACGGGCTTGACTTTGGGCTTTGCTTCAGGCTCCGGTTTGGGCTCCGCCACGGGCTTGACTTTGGGCTTTGCTTCAGGCTCCGGTTTGGGCTCCGCCACGGGCTTGACTTTGGGCTTTGCTTCAGGCTCCGGTTTGGGCTCCGCCACGGGCTTGACTTTGGGCTTTGCTTCAGGCTCCGGTTTGGGCTCCGCCACGGGCTTGACTTTGGGCTTTGCTTCAGGCTCCGGTTTGGGCTCCGCCACGGGCTTGACTTTGGGCTTTGCTTCAGGCTCCGGTTTGGGCTCCGCCACGGGCTTGACTTTGGGCTTTGCTTCAGGCTCCGGTTTGGGCTCCGCCACGGGCTTGACTTTGGGCTTTGCTTCAGGCTCCGGTTTGGGCTCCGCCACGGGCTTGACTTTGGGCTTTGGCTCGGGCTCCGGTTTGGGCTCTGCCACTGGCGTGACTTTGGGCATTGGCTCGGGCTCCAGTTTGGGCTCCGCCACCGGCGAGTTGTGCTTGAGTTTTAATTTTGAGGATTGCCCGTCTCCATGGTGGTCAAATCCTGAAAGGAAACATAATTGCAGAGGCGATAAAATGAAGAATGTGACTCGGGCACAAAGTGAGATTGGCAAAGGGATCTGGGGAGGAAGGTCTGACTTTGGGCTTTGGCTCAGGCTCCGCCACCGGCTTGACTTTGGCCTTTGGCTCGGGCTCCAGTTTGGGTTCCGCCACCGGCTTGACTTTGGGCTTTGGCTCGGGCTCCGGTTTGGGCTCCGCCACCGGCTTGACTTTGGGTTTTGGCTCAAGCTCCGGTTTGGGCTCCGACACCAGCTTGACTTCGGGCTTTGGCTCGAGCTCCGCCACCAGCTTGACTTTGGGCTTTGGCTCGGGCTCCGGTTTGGGCTCTGCCACCGGCTTGACTTTGGGCTTTGGCTCGGGCTCCGGTTTGGGCTCTGCCACCGGCTTGACTTTGGGCTTTGGCTCGGGCTCCGGTTTGGGCTCTGCCACCGGCTTGACTTTGGGCTTTGGCTCGGGCTCCGGTTTGGGCTCTGCCACCGGCTTGACTTTGGGCTTTGGCTCGGGCTCCGGTTTGGGCTCTGCCACCGGCTTGACTTTGGGCTTTGGCTCGGGCTCCGGTTTGGGCTCTGCCACCGGCTTGACTTTGGGCTTTGGCTCGGGCTCCGGTTTGGGCTCTGCCACCGGCTTGACTTTGGGCTTTGGCTCGGGCTCCGGTTTGGGCTCTGCCACCGGCTTGACTTTGGGCTTTGGCTCGGGCTCCGGTTTGGGCTCTGCCACCGGCTTGACTTTGGGCTTTGGCTCGGGCTCCGGTTTGGGCTCTGCCACCGGCTTGACTTTGGGCTTTGGCTCGGGCTCCGGTTTGGGCTCTGCCACCGGCTTGACTTTGGGCTTTGGCTCGGGCTCCGGTTTGGGCTCTGCCACCGGCTTGACTTTGGGCTTTGGCTCGGGCTCCGGTTTGGGCTCTGCCACCGGCTTGACTTTGGGCTTTGGCTCGGGCTCCGGTTTGGGCTCTGCCACCGGCTTGACTTTGGGCTTTGGCTCGGGCTCCGGTTTGGGCTCTGCCACCGGCTTGACTTTGGGCTTTGGCTCGGGCTCCGGTTTGGGCTCTGCCACCGGCTTGACTTTGGGCTTTGGCTCGGGCTCCGGTTTGGGCTCTGCCACCGGCTTGACTTTGGGCTTTGGCTCGGGCTCCGGTTTGGGCTCTGCCACCGGCTTGACTTTGGGCTTTGGCTCGGGCTCCGGTTTGGGCTCTGCCACCGGCTTGACTTTGGGCTTTGGCTCGGGCTCCGGTTTGGGCTCTGCCACCGGCTTGACTTTGGGCTTTGGCTCGGGCTCCGGTTTGGGCTCTGCCACCGGCTTGACTTTGGGCTTTGGCTCGGGCTCCGGTTTGGGCTCTGCCACCGGCTTGACTTTGGGCTTTGGCTCGGGCTCCGGTTTGGGCTCTGCCACCGGCTTGACTTTGGGCTTTGGCTCGGGCTCCGGTTTGGGCTCTGCCACCGGCTTGACTTTGGGCTTTGGCTCGGGCTCCGGTTTGGGCTCTGCCACCGGCTTGACTTTGGGCTTTGGCTCGGGCTCCGGTTTGGGCTCTGCCACCGGCTTGACTTTGGGCTTTGGCTCGGGCTCCGGTTTGGGCTCTGCCACCGGCTTGACTTTGGGCTTTGGCTCGGGCTCCGGTTTGGGCTCTGCCACCGGCTTGACTTTGGGCTTTGGCTCGGGCTCCGGTTTGGGCTTCGCCACCGGCTTGACTTTGGGCTCTGGCTCGGGTTCTGGTTTGGGCTTCGCCACCGTCTTGACTTTGGGCTCCGGTTCAGGCTCCGGTTTGGGCTTCGCCACCGGTTTGACTTTAATCTCTGGCTCAACCTCAGGCTCAGGCGTTACCACTGGCTTGACGATGGGCTCCGGCTCAGGCTTTGCCACTGGCTTGACTTTGAGCTCCAGCTCGGGATCGGGCTTCACCACCGTCTTGACTTCAGGTGGAAGCTTTTTAGGTTCTGCCAGTACAGGCGACTTGGGCTCGTCTTCGGGGTAGGCAATACAGAAATTAGCGCAAAAGGGCTCGGAGAGATGTTAGTGACAGACAGACAGGACAATCAATAAGAGGTGAGAGGCTACAGGAAGCAATAACAAGTACCTTTCGTTGGCTCCTGCAGTGGCGGCAGCTGTGCGACTTCTTCTGGTTCTTTGGAGACATTCAAGCACATAAGCGACTGATCAGAAATTGATCGTCAAAGAGAACAAACTACCTTTAACCGGGGTGAGGACTTTCTTCTTCTTCTCCATTCGAACCTCCTCTGCCACTTTGGTCACTGTGACATTCACAACTCTGTCAGTCACCTGCTGGCTAAGGCGGTCAATGCTAAGTGACCCGCAGTGTGGGTTGCTCACCTTGCGGGGGGGCCGCTTCTTCCTTTTCTGCTGCTAGCTCCACTCTCTGCTCCTCCTGGCCTTTGGCCACTTGGAAAGGAAAAACTAATCAAGTTAGCTAGAAGATACCAAAGAAGACACTAGCAGGACTTCTTCGAAGTCTTGGTACCTCTGGAAAGCATTTCCTCTTTCACTTCCACTTCCTGGCTCTCCAATATTTCCTGGACGGTAACTGCCAGAGAGACAAGTGTTTTTTTTCCGCAATCAATTTTATTTTGAAATTCAGAGGGAACATATCACAGGCCCCTCGACAAGAACCGCCAGGGTCCAGAAGGCAAGAAGAGGGACAGAAGGACCCCCTTGTCTGGCTAAGTCACCAAACAAGAGGTGATGTAAGATGACCAAAAAAGAACCTTTTGACAAATTAGGGGCCATTTCAGTCGTGGTGGAGGAGGGTGTTCCCCCCTCCCCCCACTCTTTCAAGTTGTGTGGTAATTCCTCAATGGATACAACTTTTAGTTCGCACCTTGACACTTGCTGGGCATGTCTATCATGAGTCGACCTACAAAAACGCCTCCAGAAGAAACATGATGTTGACCAATCTTCTTTCAAGGGAGCATTTTATGCCATTTGTGGTCCTTGAAAGCAACTCAGCCCCCGACACCGCTCTGACTTAGCCAAGTGAAATTTAGAAGACATGTCAGGCATGAGTAGAAGAATAAAATGTTCCCACAAGGCATGCCCAGAATGATCCAGAATGTCTTCCCTTGTGTTTGGAAGCAACCGTTTCAATTGTTTCTTTTCCAGGCACTCTTCAGTGATGAACGCCGCCTCAGGGTTTCGCCCAATTTTTTACCAAATTTCAAGCACGTCGAATAAACAGCATCAAGCATCAATATGTTATGAATGATGTGGAATGTGAATGATAATGATAATGGGGAGAAAAGTGTGAATACCTGCAGGCTCAATTTCTTCCTCATAATGATAAAACTCAGCAGATTCTTGAACAAAGAGAAAAGAAATGTCATCTCTGTTGTATCACAAACTCATTACAGTTTGATGTCGAGTAAACCCCAGCATTTTCACGTGGTGTAGGGAGTGACTGCAATTGCCAAAAGAAAGCATTTCCATGATCCTGCAGCGGAAATTGCCCCCGCATGGGGCTCATCAAGAACTTGAGCTTGCATGCACACCTCAATCATGCCTTCGTGCAAATGGGCGTGATGTCCCACAAGGCCAAACAAATTCTTGACACAGACGACGGCAAGATGTCATTTCAAGCCCCCTTTTGGCATTGATACATAATTGTCAGATGAATACTTTTGCACAAAATAGGTAAAAGAGTAGCGGAAACACTTTCACATTCACAAAGCATGTTAAGGGTGATCCCAGATGCAGATGAAAGAATGACGCCAGTCAATCGGGGTCCACAACAACAGCACCACTCCACCAGATGGCAACCAGGTCATGATTTGATTGCGCAGAAAGCGCCAACAACAGAGGACGATTAAAAAAAAAAAGGATTAAAAAAACTGCACATTTGTGATTGCTCAACCGCTAATATGCCGGGGTTTACTCTATTTACAAATGTGACCGGCTCTGGCTAAAAATTCTCAACGCAATTTGCTTTTGCAAATATCTCCATATGCTTGCCCCTCTGGGACATTTGCTGCGGGGCGTCGGTCAGATCTTTGGCAGAAATGGAGTCGTTTGCTGTGCCAGAGAGGACAATATCAGCCTTCTGATAACAGCGCTATGACGTTCCTCTTGTCTACTTATGCTTAAATTAGGTTTTTTTCCCCAAACAATGGTGTTTTGTTTTTTTTTCTTTTGGGGCGGGAGGGTTGAAGAGGCGCGGACGAGGGGGCTTATATGCCCCCACACACCTGGGACAGCGGTAGTCGGGGGGTTGCAGCGCAGCCTTGGGTCGGGGAGCCTTATTTGGAAGGTTGCCCGACCCGGTCAGCTGTTTTGATGACATGTCACCAGGAACTAGTGACAGCTCCGATGAGGGCTGAAATGATAACCGAAACTGTCAGTCAAGTAATATTTTTTTCTCTTCACGCCAAAAAAAGACCATTGTCTGTGGGAAAAAAATTCCAATGGGAGGCCGAGATTTGAGCCCTTTACAAGCTGGGGAAGGTTGAAATCGGTCAAAACTGCCGAGTCAGCCTTTCAAGATCCCATTAGACTGACAACTCATCTCCTGGTTCATCTTCAGCCGTAGTTTTCTTGTTTTATTCTTGCCACTTGTGGCTCAAGCTCAAAACACGGCCGTGCGTCCCTTTGACATGATGTTGTCCTTTCGGTTTTTATTGGTTGCTATGTGCATTTCTCGAAATGACTTGTAAAATGCATCTGAGGCAAGGAGTTCGGGGTGATTTGGAGAGCAAGTTTGCAGGTTTTCCAAGACACGCTCGCTACCGGTCGGCGAGGACCACACTAATACTAATATCTTCTTTTCATACCTTTCGGTGACAATTTTAGGTTTTGGGCTGCTGGGAAACGCAAAAAGAGACCTCAGGAGGGTATTTTGGGTGATTATTTTTTCCCGCCGTCCGGTCTATTTTTGTCGATAAGCCCAAACAAATCCTTGCAACGACGCGAGCTCCTTAGCCAGAGTGGGTCACAAACATGCCAATATGATGTGGAGATCAGTCTTACCTTGAACGTCCACCGACGAAGGCGCTTCGGGCCTCTCCACAGGAACGTCTTGTACATCTACACAACAATTTGTTTCTTCGTTATTCGCAAACCCCGTGTTCACAGCAATCATTAATTGGTCCATTTCACAGCGCTTTCCTTCATTGTCTCATCGTGTGTTCAGAACATGGGCGAATTGTTCATGTGCTCAGAGTACATTCCTGCATTCACTAGTAGGATGAATGAATCAAGTCATGATGGGTGACTTAAAGCTCGCGTATATCTCCCAAAGCAAGACCCCAGGTTGGGGAAGTGAACCGCTAACCGTCTTTGCCACTAACGCAGCTTGTGTGAGTTCAAGATGTGAGTCATGCGGTCGGGTCCTTTGCTCAACTTTGAAAGACGGCCAAAGACCAGGATTTTGTGCTCTGGAAAAGAAAGTACTTACCAAAGGGAACCATGGCTAATTGGATCTCTGTGAGAAAGGGGGGTGAAGAAGAAGATGAAGAAGAAGAAGGTGGTGTCAAACACAACAAGAGTGTCAATCTGAGGGTGGTCAAAGGTAGTGCTGTGGGGTACCTTTGCCAGACAAATAGAGCTCAGCGCTGCTCTTTGCTTCGCCCCGGGGTTCCAACCTCACAATCACGGAGTACACGCCTATGTGAGAGAAGTCACTGGTTGGCGGTCATGAAAAACAGTCAAATGTGCCGGCATGGGGGACCTGGGCCGGCGCGCTACTACGCACCTTCATCCTCCACGCTCACGTTTTGGATGACCATGAAATGTCTTCGGCCTTCGCTGCGGAAGTTGTACTTGGGGCTTTCTCTCAGCTCCCAGGTGTCCTTGTACCAGGACACCACCGCATTGTCGAAGGACACCTCGCACTCGAAGGTGGCCGCCTGACGCTCGTTCACCTCCACGTTGTGGATGCGCTTGGTGAAATGAATTTGCTCAGCTACAACAGACAAAGACGGACGGCAGCGGGGTGAGAGGGTGGCGCGAGGCCCGGCGAGGGACAACATCCACACTGGGTGACAGTGAGGGAGGGTGGGAAGACCAGAAAATTAGGAGGGATGTCGTTAGCATGGCAGAGAGACGGACTGCGAGCGGTCCGACAAATGAGGCGATGAGATGATGGTGAGAATGCGGGGAGAGTTGAGGGTAAAGGATGACTGTTGTCTGAGGAGAGGAGCACTGTGAGGGTGGCAGACACAGAAAGGACACAGCAGCCACGCTGGGGTTGGGAGGAACCCGCCTTAGGGTGGCGGTCTTGTGAGAGGTGAGTAGGGGAAGGGCCGTTGGGGAGGTTGGACCGACGCATTCCAAGCGAAGCACACAACAGCCACACTGGGGTTAGGAGGGACCCGTCCGAGGGCGGTGACTGACCAAGAGTCCAAGAGGGAGCACAAGCAAGGGAGTGACATGAGAGAGGATGGATGACCGTCCCCAGGAATTCAAGAAGAGAACGATGACAACAAGTTGGGATTAGTCAGGGAGACACGATGATGATGATGATGATGATGGCGGTGTCAGAAGAGATTAATCAAGGACCAATCGGAAGGTTTTTGGACTAGGTACCAACCTTCCACCCAGAGGTCCGCAGAGGACTGCAGGTGCAGGTACCTGCAGGTGTAGCGGCCCTGGTCTTCGGGCTTCAAGTCCTTGATATGAAGCTTCTGAAGCTTGTGTTTGACCTCAGTCTTGAACCTGCCCCGCTTGGTGTCTAACTCCTGGCCATTCTTAAACCACTGCGCTTCCGCATTGGGGATGGACAACTGACAAGACAAAGTACATGACTGGCCTTCCTTACCCGACGTGTCCTGAAGGTGCGTCTCCACCACAGCCTCTGGAAGAATCAAGAACGTGGAGGCTTGGGTCAGTACTATGGACTACGGCGGGTGAACTTTGGCCTACGGACTATTTCATATCAAGTGTGGAGTATGGACTGCGTTCTTTGAACTCTAATCTGTAGACCATGCACTATGGCCTATGATAAATGGCCTTTAGATTTTGGAAAATGGACTGCGGCCAAGGCACTACTGACTATGGTCTGTGGATTATGGACTATAAACTGCAGGCTAGAGACTTTGAACTTTGGGCAGCGGACTGCATACTATGAACAATGGGCTACAGACCACAGACTATGAGCTGTTGACAGTACTGACCATCTGTAATCATGATTGTTTTGCAGAACTGACCGGTAACGGTGAGCTTGGCACTGGAGATGTGAGGTCCACACACCACCCGGTAGTTGCCCTGGTCCGCGACTTGGCAACCCTTAACTTTCAGCAGATGGCGCTCTCCACTCACGCTGATGTGGTACTTGAGGCCGGTGTCCAGTTTCTGGGTGCCCTTGTACCAGGACAGCATGATTTCGGGGTAGTTGATCTTCACCTCACATTCAAACAGAGCCTCCTCGTCCACTAGGACGGACTGGTCACAGATGTCCTTCACCACAGTTACGGGCTTGAGGACAGACAAGAGGACACCTAAGACATACGGTTGACTAAAGTCCATGAACTATGGACCGATCACAGTTATCCTTCAGCCCTGTCGGAGGCCAAAGGACAGAAAAGAGAATATGGCAGCATATGCTTGGACTAGTACGATCATCAAAGTTCCAACTGATTTTTGTATTTGTGTTTGAAATTGCTCCACTGAAAAACAATTTGCTGCTGCTAGACACTTTCAAGAAATAAAAAATGTTGATTCTATCAAAAAGGAAACCAAATGTTCATTTCTTACATTGTCATACTTGTATAACTGTTTAATGAAAGCCTTGCTTCAGGCCCCAGAGATTCATGTGCAAAAAAAAAATTGCTCCTCAAGATGAGGAAGTAGATCCTCGAATGAAGTCAGTGCTCCTCCCAAAAAACAAAAAAGACATGTTGTCAACCGACCTCTGTCCGCTCCATCCTCTTCTGCAGGTCGGCCACCAGCCTGGCCATGTCCTCGTCCACCTCTCTTGGTGCACGTTCCACTTCCTGTCAAACAAGCAGCGCTTAGGCGAAGCTCAAGTCACCAATGGCGGCATGCGGGGCGGCGTGTCTCACTTGTCTTCCAGTTTCTTCACCCTTCTCCTGCTTGAGCTGCTCAATGGCCTGGAGGAGACCCCGGTAGTCGGTAATACCGTACATGCGGGCGTACTTCTCGTACTCTTTGGGGTCCACGTTTCTCAGCAGCTCGATAATGTCAATGTCCTCATCCGCCTCGGGGCTCTTCTGTTTGGACGGGGTCCTAAAGACACACGCAAAAAGATTCAGGTTGAAGCACTGCCGTGATGATTCTCAAAGGGGTGGGGGTGGTGGTGGGGGGGTGCGCTGCCGGCCCACGGACTGACTTCTTGAGCTTGGCTCTCAGGTCTCCTTCTAGCTGGGCGGCCGCCTTTTTCTCATCGACGTGGAGGTCTGCGGCGCACTCGATTTCGCCGTGCGCGTTGGAAGCCACGCAGCGGTACTGGCCGGAGTCCGACTTGGTCACCTCGCGGATCTCCAGTTTGGACTCCCGGGCCGTCTGCTCGATGGAGATGCGGCCGCCCTGGGTCAACTGCCTCCACTTGCCCTTCATCCACTTGATGCTGGGGATGGGCTCGCCGCCCACCTTGGCGATGAAGGTGGCGGTGCCCTCTGCAGGGAGAACGCAGTGTCTCTGTATTAATTCCGGCCGATTGCGTCCACTTCTACTGCGCGGGCGGCTTCTTATCGTGAACTGTCCAGCGTGCGTGTGCAAAGCGCTCGTCTTTTTGACACCGTCGGAAGGTTGAGCGTTGGTGCCTTTGTTCATTTCGGGCAAGGCGCAGGCTTGTCAATAAGTGCGAGTGACGTCAAACATATGCAGAAGTGCCTGATCCTATCGCCAAACCCTGCGGAACATTCTCCACAGTTTGTCGGTCACGTTTGCGTCTCAGCTAAATCATTGCAAGGGAAACACGCGGCAGCAGAAAGCCTCCCAACGACAATCGTATTTGGCTGATATTTTCTGTCTCGTGACGTTTGGAAGAGGCCCCGCCCTTTAGCCTGCACGCGTTGCAGTCAGACGTGCTTAAATCGAGTTTTGTACGCCAGGAAGATGCCATAAAACGAACAACCAATGTCATTCTGATTGCTTGAGAATATCCAAATCTTGTGTTGGCCAATCACGAGCCGCCCTACACGTGCAGGGCAAGCGCCTGACTTGCTGGCGAGCCGAAACGCAGAGTTCATCTGCCGCGCATGTTATCTCCTGCTCCCCACAACACTTACTTTTATTTTTCAAATCCAGCTATTGCTCGCGTTGAGAGCGAGTTGGTTCATTTTTATTAGTTTTGATTTCTCTCGAAAATGCTTCCTTTGACTTTTGCTTTGATTGATTACAGTTTTTATCACACAAGGATTATTTGTTGAGTGCATGATAAAAATGAAGGTCCAAATAAGTCCGGAAGGAACCGACAAATCGCAAATGCAGGTTCGACGTTCGACGTTCCTTCTTCCGTCTTTTATGTTTCCAAAGGCAAAATGTCGTGTTTTTCCTTCTTCCGTAGGGTAATACTGAAATATATGCAACTCAACCCCAAAAGTTCAGATGAAACGAATCGACAAAAAAACAGAGCACTGCAACGCAACAATTACAACGACTTTTATGTTTCCAAAGGCAAAATGTCGTGTTTTTTTTTTTTTTTTTTTTAACCCTCTTGATTTTATTTGATTTCATTTCCATCTTGATTATTTTACAACCTTGTTTGCAACTAAATACGAGCAAAGTGGAACATTTCTGCATATGATGTGAGACATTGTCCGGGTGCCCGTTCATGTGGCGCAGTTTTGTTGTTGTTGCTTGTTTTGTTTTGTTTTTTGCGGCGGATTTTTTTCCAGTGTCTTGCAATGTCCTAGCGGAGGAGGAGGAGGAAGGCGGGTGTCTCACTCTCGGTGACGTGCGTGCCCTTGGGCTCCTGGATGAAGAAAAGCTGGTCCAGCTTCTTGGTGGGAGAGACCTCAGCAAACGCATCCGTCACCTCGGCTTCTTTTTCTTGAACGACAAAAACAACCAACAACACAAACGGTAAGACCAGGGAAGGCTGACAAGCGTCTGTCCAGTACCTCCCGACGCTGACGGTGACTCGCTTGTCAAACATGGATCGCACTTCTCGACCGAGTATTTTTGCCGCCTTCAGAGATTGCAAAAAACAAAATACGGACAATCCGAAAGAGCAGGCGGCTCCGTTTACCCTTGACAGTGACTTTGGCGCGGCACAGCTCGCTTCCGGCGTCGTTGGCGGCCTTGCAGATGTAGTCGCCGGCATCGCGACGGGTCGCCGCGGCGATCTCCAGGCAGGCCGTCCCGTCCGAGAAGGTGACGTCGGACGTGGCGGACGGCGTCAGCTCTTTTCGGTCTTTCATCCACTGGATCCGGAGAGGAGGCGAGCCGCGGACGTGGCAGCGCAGGCTCAGACGCTCGCCCTCGGTCACGGCCGTGGACTTCAGAGGGACGTCAAACACCGGGGCAGACTTCGCCTCTGCGGGTGTAAGGGCGTACACATTAGCTGGCGCCGCACCAAACATATTTTATGAGCAACAAATGCTTAACAAAGCTCAATCATTTGCCATGCTATTAAAGACGCTAACAAAGCCACCTTGTTAGCCACGTTATTTGTCAAATACTGAATGTTAGCCGCGTTATTCAGCATGCTAACTGTTAGACTGGTGGAAATGCTCATCAACCTAAAACGCTAAGAAAATTAAAGCTTGCCATGTTATCAGAGGATCCAGCAGGTCAACCTTCAAGGTCGGCCATGCTATTAAACGTAAGCTAATTTGATGAACCATACTGACGACATCTTAAAAAAAGCCATGTTAAGTATGAATAAAATAAAGAAATAAATGTTGCTATGCTACGATCACACTAGGAAGCAGAGATGCCAGTAACGTGTCACAAAGTCAGTTCTTTGGGAAGTTGCAATTGTAAGCTCCATTTCGGAAAATGCGAACGTAAAAGATGATCCATTTCATTCTTTCCGGCATATTGGTGGAAAATGCTCACAAAGCTCCGACGTTCGTCACGCGAGTGAACGCTCTCACAAACATACTGTATCAGTGAGCATGACATTGCCGGTTCCACATCCTCCATTTCGCGGTGAGGGCGAACTGACCAGAGATTTTGAGGGTAACGCCGCACTCTGCCTGTCCCGCCTCATTGGTCGCTTGACAGCTGTATCGTCCGCTGTGATCGCGCTGGCTGTTCTTGATGCAAAGCACGGCCACGTTGCTCTTAAAGCTAAAGTCGTAATCGTCGGAGGCCGAGATGTCGGCGCCGTCCTTGAGCCAGAGGACGGACATGGGCTGGGACCCGGACACCCGGGCCTCCATCTTGACCAGGCGGCCCTCGATGTCCTCCAGTTCCTCAGATGGCTTCTTGGTGAATATCGGAGGGTTCTTTCGCTCTACGAACGAGACAAGGGCCATGAGTCGTACAGACCAAACCGGAGGGACGGGAAGAGATGAAAAGACCGGGAGGGGATGGGGGGAGCACAAAGACCAGGGGGTGGGGCGGGTGGGGCGAAGAGGGCAGAAAGGACACAGAGATTGGGGATGGGATGCAAAGACCAGTGGTTTGGACCAAAACCTTTGACTGTGACATCACAGGAGCAGGAGTCCTTCCCGACATCGTTGGTGGCGTGGCAGGAGTATCTTCCCGTGTCGCCTTTGTCGGCCTTGACGATGCTGAGCTGGGCGGTGTTATCCTCCGTGCGGATCCTGTAATTCCCGCCGCTGCGGATGTCCTTGTGGTCCTTGGACCAGGTCACCTTCATGGGGACGGAGCCGGTCAGGTGACACTCCAGCTCCACGCTTTCGCCCACCGTCACCGCCTGCGTCGCCGACAACTTCCTGTCGAAGACCGGCGGGTACCGCGGTTCTGCGAAGAGAGGGAGGATTGGAATCGGCGCGCCTATTTTTCTTCGCTTATTTGTTTCGTTTTTCACTTTGCAGATCTTTTCCGGCACCGACCTAGCAGGGTGAGCTTTGCTCTGCACGATGCTGAGCCGACACTGTTGGTGGCCACGCAGGCGTATTCCCCGGCGTGCCTCATCTCACTGCGGGTAATGGTGAGCGCGGCTGTGTTGTCGTGGTAGAGCGCCGAAAATTCATCGCCGTCCCGCACCGGCTCGCCATCCTTCAGCCAGGAAACGTCCAGAGGGGACGAGCCCGCCACGCGACACTCGAAACGGACCGTAGAGCCCAACGTCTGCTGGAGGCTCACGATCTTCTTCGGGAAGCTCGGCGGGGTCTTGGCCTCTGAGGAAGGGAAGCCAACGTCAGTCAACGATCCTGACCCTGCGCTCAAAGGCGCCCATCAGTCTGCCACCGTTCAGAAGCTCGTGTGTGGTCCTCGTACCACTCGTAGAAGGGTGAAGAATTCCCGAAATTAAATCGACAAATTGCGCAAAATCTGGCACAGGTGACCGACCTTGAACGCTGAGGCGACACGTGGAGGCGGCCGTCCCGATCTTGTTCTCGGCCTTGCAGGTGTACTCGCCCACGTCGGCCTTGGTGGCCTTGCTGAGTTTGAGGCAGGCCACGCCTTTGCCGTACTCCAGCCTACAGGTGTCACTGGAGCGCACCTTGCCATCGCCCTTGAACCAGGACACTTTGACCTCGGGGGTGCCCGCCACGTGACACTTGAGGCAGACGGCGTCGCCGGACGTCACCTCCATGGGCTCCAGGGGCTCCAGGAAGTACGGCGGCTCTGCGAGAAGGAGACAAAATCAAAATCCTGGGTATTGACCTGTACCGTCGCCGTTCTCAATGGGCGGCGCGATTCGTGCACTTACCCAGAATGGTGACGGCGGCCCGGCATTCATCCTTGCCGGCATCGTTGGCCACGCGGCAGGCGTACTTTCCGGCGGCTTCCTTGTCCTCTGTGCTGAGGCACTCCAGGATGCAGGCGCTCTCCGTCGTGCTCAGGTTGTATTTGTACGACGCAAACACCGGCTGCTCGTCCTTGAACCAGCTCACCGAGATCTCGGGCGTCCCCGAGTACGTACACTCCAGCCTCAGAGGTTTGCCTTTCTCCACAGACACGTCCTTCAGCTTTTGCACGAACAAAGCCGGCTCTGGAAGAGGGACACGAGGGGATGCCGGGTGTCGGTCACAATCCACTCGGTCCGTGGTGACGCGCGCAACACACGCACACACGCGCACAACACACACACACACACACACACACCTTTGAGCAGGAGGTTGACGGGGCAGCTCTCTTGGCCCACGTCATTGACGACCTGGCACGTGTACTCCCCGGCGTGACTCCTGTCCACCCGGTAGAGCTGCAGGAGGACCCGGTTGTCCTTCAGCGAGAAGTCGCAGTCCCGCCCGGCTTCCAGCTCCGCGGCCCCCCTGAACCACTTCACCCTGAGGGGGGCGCTGCCCTTTACGATGGCCGAGAAGGCGACATCCGAGCCCGGCGTGGCCTCGGCCGGCTCCGGCGCAACCACGAAAGACGGCGGCTCTGCCGACAAGAACAAGTCACGATGACAGCAAATCTAGTCGGGGGGGTGGAGGGGGGCTGGATGAACCCAAGCACCCATCTGACTTCGGATTCTCGTTCATTTTAACGTACGGACAAATCTAATGACGGGAACAAAAGAACGGAAGAACTCATGCCAGGCCATCACCAAAGTCAATCTCATCGGGCATTGAACTGGCCAAACCGGGCGGGCTCTTGACGGCATTGCATGTTTGCTTGTCTGTCGTTGAGTCACACGATACACCTCACGCGGTGGCAAATGAACGAGAAACGGTGAACCTCGAACGTCTGCTTACCTTTGACGTCCAAGGTGGCGCTTGTCTCACTGGATCCCGCCTCGTTGACGGCCTTACACCTGTAGCGTCCCGAGTCGGACAGCTTGAGGGTTGGTAGCCTGAGGGTGCAGCTGTTGTCACTGAAGGAGATGTCGCAGGCGGGCCCGCTGCGGAGTTCCTCGTCATCGCGGTACCAGGAAATGGTGAAAGGGGTCGAGCCCGACACCTTGCACTCCATCTCGCCGGCTTTGCCCACCACCGTGTTACAGTCCTTCAGTTTTCTCGTGAAGGAAGGCGGGACAATTTTGTCTGTCGGGAGGGAAAGACGACACAAAGGTGGGATACCGCCAGGCTCGCTTTCTCTCTCAGTTTGTGACGACAGTCAAAAAAGAAGACCCCGATCTAGGTGGCGAGTCTACAAACTGCGTCACATGAGCTGAAATGTCAAAAGAAAGCGACACAGGCGCACATCACCCTCGTAAAGCCTCGTCAAGTTTAGGACAACGAAACATTCAAGCTCGTCGCAAAATTCCCCTTTTAAAACACATAAAAAGGAAACAACACAAGCACATAAAGGCTGAATTGAAACATCAAAGATGGAGATAAAAAGGTCAAAGACACAAGTCAACACAGACACATAACCACCTTAGGAAACGCGACTCGAAACATAAAAGGAAGTGGCACCAACCTAAAACAGTCAGACTGATTTTGCTCAGGTCCTTCCCGACCTCGTTCATGACCTGAAATGTGTATTCTCCAGAATCCAGTTTCTCCGCAGCCAGCACGTTCAGGCGGGAGATCATCCGGGAGAAAGAAATTGAGTATTTCCTGCCAGAGGCCAGTTCCACGCCATCCTTGAACCACTTGGGCACCAGCTCTGGGGTGCCGCACACTTTGACTTCCAGGGCGGCAACGTCGCCAGCTGTCACGCTCAATCTTTCGGGCTTATCCACAATCTTGGCGGGTTCTGCAAGCGACCAACACGGAGCACAAGGTGTTTAAAACCAGTCCCGCTTCCCGGAGAATGAAGAGAAAGAGAGAGAGAGAATTATTCGGTCACCAACCTAGAACAGTCACGTTTGCAAAACACTCGGTACTCCCGGCGTCATTGCGCAGCTGACAGGTGTACCGGCCGGCTGTGGCTGAGTCAGCCGAAAAGACTTTGAGAGACGCCCGCTGGTTCTCAAAGCTGATTTTTCTGTTGTCGTCGTCCCTAAGTATGTGGTCCTTGCCCAGAACCCAGGACACGGCGATGGGTTCGGAGCCTGCGACGGTGGCCAAGAGACTCACCTCCTGTCCCAGAACCACCGTCGCATTGGACAGTTTCTCCGTGAAGGACGGAGGCTCTGGAGAAGACCAACAAAGCAGTCAGCAAGGGAAAGCGATCGAACCTTGCTTCCGCACCCGATGCTTTGAAGTCCACAGACCTCTGAGTTTAACTGACGCCTGGCAGGTGTCGCTGCCGACGGGGTTTGATGCCTTGCACTCATAGCGGCCGGCGTCGGCGGGTTCAAGCCCAATGATGTGCAGCGTGGCCGAGTTGCCCGCGCTCAACATCTTGTGCTTTCTGCTCTGCATCAGGGGCTTGCCCTCCTTGAACCAGGCAGTCTGGAAGGGGGCTGTGCCGCTCATCTCGCAGTAGAGACTCACATCCTTCCCCTTCAGCCCCTCTACCGGTTCCGGTAGTTTCACAAATGATGGCGGGTCTACGGGAACACCAGCACGTCATTACAGAGGCGCAAGAGGCATACGGGTGGTGTAAAGTCTTAAAGCTGAAATACGAAAAGCTACGGCGTTTGCACGGTCTTCCCGTGGTTGCGTGGGTTTTCTCTGGATACTCGAGCTTCGTCCCACGTACCATCGAAGACAAAATGCGATGCGAATGCTTGTTTGCCTATATGTGTCCTGGCGATTGACTGGCGACCAGTTCAGAGTGATCCGTTCCTCTGCCCAAAGTCAGCTGGGATGGATGCCAGCCCAGCCGCAACCCTCGAGTGGGGATAGGTGCGATAAGAAATGGATGGATGGAATTTGAAAAAATTGAATTTGGACTACATGCCCTGTGATTGACTGGCAACCAGTCCAAGATGTGCTCCACCCCTCACCCGATGCCATCTTGGATCGAATCCACTTAGCCCCATTAACCCTGACAAGTGCAAGCGGTATGGAACAAAACCCCAAAACAAAGTATTAGGATGACAAAAGGTGGTCTGCAACCTTCAAGCGGTAAAGGTCAAGTTCAAGTCAGACGAACGCAGAGTTATTTGGCTGTGCAAAACAGAGCGCTACGTAATGGACGACAGCTTTCAGCTCTGCGATCAGCGAGTCACTGACAGGAAGTCAGTGAAAAACCAACCTTGCACAGTCACGGTGGCGCTAGAGCTGACACTGCCGGCGTCGCTATGAGCTTCGCACGTGTACACTCCGTCATCGTCAAAGCCAGCGCTGCGCAGCTCCAGGGTGGCCACCGAGTCCACGAACGACGTGCTACAGTTGCCGCTGTCCGTTAGCTTGGTGTCCTGCTTGTACCAGGTCACCTTGATGGGTCCGGTACCGGTGACCCTGCACTCCAGGCGCAGTGGCTCGCCCCGCTTCACACACTTACTGGCCGGGAGTTTCAACACAAACTCAGGTGGTTCTGGAAAGGCCAAAACATTAGCATTAGCCGGCGGAATGTCTGTGGAGATTGTCATTCAGGTCACGGCAATCCGAAAAGTTAACGGGAGGCAATTGGACTCTTGATTGTTTGCCACACTTCAGACTCAGCAACACTGTCACACAAAAGCTTGTTCGCTCCAAGGACAAACTCCTTCGAAGCAAACCCCGCACTGTTGTTGATGCAGCGTAGTGCGGAGTGACTCTTAACCGATGAAGAAAACAGTTGAATTTGCACGTCGTTTGCATCGCAGAGAAAAAAAAAGGGGGCATTCCTTTGAGGACAATTACGACCAAATTCTGGACCGAGAAGACGAACTTAAACGAGGCGTGAAAGAGGCCACCTGTGTCCAACTTGGAAGGGCCCGGGAGGTTCACGCCATCTCTCCCCCAAAGATTGTCTCCCCATATGGGAAAGGTGGCCACAACGTCGCTTTCGCCAGGCAGGTGAGCCAGACATACCGGGTGGCAATAATCCTACTGGGACGAGCCCCAGGGCACACACTCAGCAAAGGCCTAACTAGGGGGACCCCAAACATCAAAGTGAAGAAGCCTTTGAAGCAAAGGCAAATTGTCAGCGAAAATAGTCGAGTTGCCTCCATTCAACTTTGAAGGATATAAGGCGCTGAAGCGAGCGAGGGGAGTTGCAGGGCACGGCGGAAATGATGTCGTGTGGAGCGGGGGATGGTCGACCCACGTGCAAGACAGAAGAAAGAGACCCGCATGACGGCAAAGCTGCGCCAACGCCAACACTGACGACGCCACACAAAACACAGCGACGAGACGATTGTCCAACCTTTGACCGTCAAGTCCGCGCTGGAGTGCACGGAACCGGCATCATTGCTGACTTGGCATGAGTAGACCCCGCTCTGGGTGACGCCCACGGAGTAGAGCTCCAGGAAGCAGGAGAGCCCCTCCAGCCCCATGAGACAAGTGGGCCCCGTCATCAGCTCCAAATCATCCTTGAACCACTTGACACTGAAGGGCGGCGTCCCCTTGAACGTCCCTTTGAAACGCACGGTTGCATTGGGTACGGTCGCCTGGGACTCTGGCAGGGTGACAAAGCTCGGGGGTTCTGCACATAAGCAAACGGAGCAGGCTCTCAAAGCGGTCCTCAAGTTGAGGATCAAGGTAGCAATCCAAAAGCGGGTTTAACCTTTGACTTTTAACGTTGCGACGCACTGGCAGCTTCCCGCAGAGTTGCTGAGTTTGCAGGAGTAGGAACCTGCATCTAAAACCTCTAAGTGCTCGATCTCCATGCTCACAGAGTTCTCTTGCTGAATCAGTTTGTGTTTGACGCCGCTGGAGATCTTGGTGCCGTCTTTCTGCCATTCTACGGAGACGGGAATGGAGCCAGATATCTTGCAAACCATCTGGACAAAAGAGCCCAGAATCTCCCGCATGTCTCGGAGGGGTTTGATGAAGCTCGGCGGGACGACTTGTTCTGTAGCCAGGAGAACAAACGCAAAGTGATGATCCGGTTCAGATGTCAGGGTGTTCTTCATTCACCATCCTCTTCACACCAACCTGACACAACCACTTTGACCGTGCAACTGCAGCTGCTGATGTGGTTGGACACCTCGAACACATAGTCTCCTTCGTCCTCTCTCTGCACTGACTTAATCTTCAGGCTGCTGATGTTGTTCTCAAAGCTCAGCTTGTGTTGCCTGATAGACTGAAGCTCCTTGCCCTCCTTTAGCCAGCGCACTTTGAGCTCTGGTGAGCCAGTTACCTTACAGTCCAGACTGACCGGATCTCCAGACGTCACCTTCACCAACTCAGGTTTCTCTGAGATCTGAGGAGGTTCTGCAAGTCAGTAAAGTCACAAAGTTACGGTAGGTCCAGCATCAGACCAGGATCGCAAAGGAGAGGTCGGTCGGTGAAGGGTGAGCACCTTGGACGGCCAGGGTGGCGACACACCTATCCTGGCCGGCGTCATTCACGGCCTGGCAAGTGTAAGACCCGCTGTGACCCGCTTCACACTCCGGGATCCTGAGCGTGGCCACATTGTTCTCAAATGTTCTCTCAATCTTTGGATCGTCCAAAATCCAGTTCCCGTCCTTTTGCCATTGTACAGAAATGGTCGGAGAGCCGTCCGCCACGCACTCAAAAACCACCTTCTTACCCACAACGCAAGTGGCATTTTGCATTCTTTTGGTAAAGGTTGGTGGTTCTGTTTCAGAAAAACGGATATTAATTCTGTCCGTCGACGAGAACCTGAGAACATTTCAACTCTAAACGGACCAACCTTTGAGGCTCAGCGCGGCCTTACAACTGCAACTTCCGACCTCATTGGCGACAGTGCACTGGTATTCCCCAACATCGCCGGTGTCACATTTGTTTATCTCCAGGCCCACCGTGTCGTTGACCAGGGAGAGGGCGTGTTTAGCACTGGCTTTCAGCTCCTTGCCGTCTTTGTGCCACGTGATCTCAAAGGGAGCGGTGCCGGCGAGTTGACAGTTCAGCCAGGCACCGCAGCCCGTCACAACGCTAGCCGGCGTCAGCTCTCGCAGAAACACGGGCGGCTCTGACGTCGGGAAACAACACAGTCATCCTCTCAGGACTTGCAACCCTACAGCAGCCACTGAGACGTGCGACTGAACTGACCTTTGACCTGCAGTTCCATGCTGCAGCTCTCGCTTCCCGCTTCATTGCGAGCTTCGCAGAAGTACATTCCACTGTCATTGACGGTGGTTCCGCACAACTCCAGGGTGGCCGAGGAGTTGACGAAGGCCATCTGGTGGCGATTGTCGGGGCTGATCTCGGAGCCCTCCCTGAACCAGTAGACGTCTATCTCGGGTGTGCCGCTCACTTGGCACTCAAACATTTGAGTCTGACCCGGTCGGATCACAGACAAGCGCGCTGGCGTACGTGTGAACTTTGGCGGTTCTGTGAGGGGAAGCAATCACAGGCATGTGTGTCAGAGAGACCTCAAAAGGAAGACTTGAGTTTGCCTTTCAACCCTACAAATCTCACGTTTGTCAACTTTGGTCTATCACCTAAGACTTTTAAGTCTTGTGAACAATCGGTTCACCTATGCATTTGAACATAAAACAATTCAAGGAGCCACGGCAGCACTCGTGGTCCTGGTGGGTCCTCTGTTGTCAATATTTTAGAACTTTGGCTGCTTCTTTTTTATTTAAATGACTGACACAACGTGTGAACCGACGGACGGAAGAGGAAGTAGCTCTGGTGAGAAACCTTTGACAAAGAGGGTGGCCTGGCAGGAGACGGAGCCCACGTCGTTGTGAACCTCACAGACATAGTCACCGGAGTCTGAAGTCTTAACAAAGAAGAGATCCAAAGAAGTCGATGCATTGTCCTTTGTCACCAGGCAGTCGGCGCTGGACAAGATCTCTTTCTGGTTCTGAAACCATTTTATGGTCAGTGGTGGCGTGCCTGAGACCAAAGCACTGAAATGGACCTTTGAGCCGGGCAGAACATCGATAGATTCTGGCGGTTCGATAATGCAGGGAGGCTCTGGAAAAGTAGAGAATCCATAGTTGTGAACCGGCTCGGCGTGGTTCTAAAACTGCCCCAGGCAAAAGAGACTCAAACCTTTGACAAACAAGGTGCCCGAGCACTGGGCGCTTCCCGCCTTGTTCTTAGCGATGCAGGCATAGCTTCCGCTATCTTTGCTGTCCAGATTGGAGATTTCCAGGAAAGCCACATTCTCAAAGAAGGTGCACTTGTGTTTGTCGTCCGTCTGGATCCGTTTTTCGTTTTTGTACCACTGGATGCTGAGGGGCAGGGAGCCCGACACCACACACTCTAGATGTGCAAAGGAGCCTTTGATACCTTCGCTTTGCTCCAGCTTCCTCGTGAATGCCGGCGCAACGATTTGATCTGATGTGGAGAAAACAAAGAGGTTAGGAATAGGGCGCGCATCCAGGCCGAACCCCGTGTTAAGAGATCTCGCACGCATGTTGTCAACGGACCCAAAATGGTGAGCGTCGCCTTGCAAGAACTCCGACCGACATCGTTGGAGACCTCCAAGGTGTAGTCGCCGTCATCACTTTTGTCTGTTTTATTGATTTTTAGCACAGAGCTGGAGTCTGTGCTTTGTACTTTGTATCTGTGGCCGGAGACCAGCTCATTGCCGGCCTTCAGCCAGCGCACCTTCAGTGGCTTGGTGCCCGAGAACCTGGCCGCCAAGGTAGCCAGATCCCCCTGAGTGACACTGATGGACTTTGCCTCCTCTGTGACCTTAGCCGGTTCTAAGACGTGAAGAACAATAAGTCAGCAAAGTTTCCACAGACTCAGAGACGCTACATCGGAGCAGATGAAGAGCTCTTATGACCGCGCTGCCACCAAGAGACGCCGGAGTCAGTTTTTGAACTGCCCTCCACTTGTTAGGAACTAGGCACGAACAGACTGTAGGGGTCCACATAACACAAACACAACTTAGAAATTGACTCTGATCCTCGCTGGCTAACTAGCTGATTCACTTCAGTCTACAGGTACGTACGTGATATTGCACCAGGGACCTTCTCGACACATTGACCAATATTTATAGATACTCGCGTGGCACAATTTTCCATCATTTCAAATTCTATATTTACACGTGCTGCACCCAAAAAGTTCCAGGACTGATTTGAAATCGAAACGACAAACTTGAAACTTCCCATTGTCCTCGTTGAAGTCAATCCCCTGGAATCTAACACACTTACGCCTACATGCACTCCAGGGAGGAATTGTCACAGCTCTCTTGGATGTCTTCCCCGTTTTCAAAACCTTGATAACACACATGAGCTTGGGAAAGAGGCAAAATGATCAGATGGCGCCAGGTCAGGTGAGTCGGGAGGTAAAGTCGGACGGCAATGTTCTTTTGAGCAAGGAGCTGTAGGGTGGTCATTGTGACCTGGTGCGTCATGAGTATGTCATACTGAAGCAATGACAAGTTGCCCTGCCGCAACGCCTACGTTGAGCCACGTTGGAGGGGAGAACTCCATTTGAGTTGAAAAGAAATCCTTTCTGACACCA